TATTACAGTTAGAATGAAATTACATATGAATATATAATTTATATGAAATTTTATTTATTATTGTAATTATACATATATAATGTGTATTTTAATATTAATATATGTACTTATATTATTAAAATACACTTTGTATGACGTTACATATATATTGTGTGTGTATATATATATATGTATGTATATATGTGTGTATATGTATATATGTGTGTGTGTATATGTGTATATATATATATATATATATATATATATATATATATATTATAATTTTTTATTTTTTTATTTTACACATGTATGTGTTTTTTTTTTTTATTTATTTATTTTTTTTTTTTTAACATGTCCCCCTGCTGGCAGATCCACAGCCAGCTATAGGGGGCCTCATTTGCCGGGGGAGGACTGCCTGGGCTGTCAGGCAGCCCTCCCGAAGAGTATCGCGGCGGAGGTGAGTATGCCGGACCTCCTGGGGGCTTAAGCCGTTACGGCGTTCTATGCCGCGACGGCATAGAACGCCATTAAGGGGTTAAGCTCTAGTTGTTCTGGTGACTATAGTGTTCCTTTAACGGTTTAACAGTAGCGCTGATCAGTTACTTCCATTGCAATACGTGACTTGAATCAGAATGCCCTGAGGACCATTGATGGGCTGTGAGCATCAGTAGCTCCCCAGTCACAAAACTGAGTGATAATACTTTTGTGAATAAAGCTTGTAAGACAGCAGTGGAAGTAGCTAGGAAGCTGATGGGCACTTTGCTCCATAACAATCTCCTTCAGATAAAGTTGTTATGGTGCCTGGAGTGTTCTTTTAGTTTTAATTTTCACATGTTAAATGCAGAGTATAAGTAAACCTAATGTGAATTAAGGTAAACGTTTTTTCTTTATAATGGCTTAAAAGGAGATGGTTAAAATGATTCCTGGTTTCTAATGCATTATTTAGGTAATGCATCTGAAAATATGCCACAGTAATGATTTAAAATTAAACAGGAACTGTAATGTCCTTAATTTTAGCATCTGTTAGCTATTGGTTGTGCCAAAAATAAATTTAAGAAAAGTCTTTTCTGTGTGCTTTAGCACAGTATGTAAATTAGTTAGCTCCTGCAGGGCTGTACACATCAAAAATGTGTGTGTATATGAAGCCGCTGGAGAAAACGCCCGAGGTTTCACGCAATAGCGAAATAGCCACAATGCGGAGGAACGGTTGAGATTTGTGTATCCCCCTTCACTCCTTACCTCTGCAGCAGTTTTCATCTCTTTAAACTCTGATATATTTTACGTGAATGGAGTGAGAAACTCACTACTGTGGATGTTCGTTCCAATTTAAATATTATACTTATTTTCAAACCTCTGTAACTTCATTGAAGAGCGTTCCATCCTTGACCAAGAAGAGGTTCAATCAATCAGTGACCTCATTCTGTTCTGTGGGGTCTGATATTACACACAGTTCTACTCATCACAGAATGAGTGAAACTGCTGCTCAATAAACTGATGGGTATATGGCAATTGCTATGAAATACACAGCTCGCATTTTTGACCTGGACTGTGTGTCTCATTCGGCAGTCATTGACTACACATGTGCGTGACTCTGCTTTCTCTGAGCACTAGAAAGATCCTTCTAACTTGTGCATGTGGTGTCCCGATGCTGCACACATAAGTTAGATGAAATTGGTTGACGACTCCTTTTCTGTGTCTGGGAGTCTAGCTTATAGCTGTAGCAATTGTTACAAATCTTTTAGTTATGAGGCAATCTCTGCATTATGAACTCTGATGACTAAAGGGTTAAACACCAGTCCCTCAGCAGTGGATCAGTGTCCCACCCCAGTGATGTCACACCGATGGGAGAACAGAATGCGTGTCGTGTGCTGCATGCGCGTTAGAGCTTCCCCATAGAAAATCATTAAATAAATGCTAAGTGGGAAGACGTCCAACATTGTTTCACACAGTAATAATCTGTGAAAATCCAGGAAGTGCCTCTAGTGGTGGTCTGGAATGACAAAAAAAAACAACTCAGTTTATGAAAAGAAAAATGAATTAGATTTTTTTTTTTTTTTCTGCATGTATGTGACCATATATAAGAGAGCGGCAGAAAGGCAGGATCAGAGATGGCTAGTTTCTTATATCGATCGACCTAAACCTTCCAAGTACTGAAGCAACCCATAGAAAAATTGTGAAATATAATAAGGTAAAACATAACCTTTAACGACTATTAAAACTAACATTCTAATGGCTATAGGTGCTATATACACATGGAGGGGAGGGGTATTTGGCTAGAAGGTACAAGCATAAATAGTACCTGTGGAAACTGGAGGGGAATACACATCTTATCTTAAAGATGCAAAAATCCAAATAGATGCATAGAAGTGCACCCTCCCATAGTGTTATCAAAAAACCAAAAGTCTCCAATTCCCAACTCCCAATGCCGAAGTCTAAAAAGGTCAGACCTCTAACCCCTTGCTAAATGTCTAGCCATTACTGACTGATAGCTGGATCTCGCTGACCGATACCAGCTAATAGAGCAGTATCGCCAGATCAATATCACTTGATTAAAAACATATAGCATGGTGGGTAATCCTAGAGATGAAGTATATAGTAGCTTCAGCATCCCCTATCTAACCATGCCACCCACTGCTAAAAGTTGTCCTGATGCACGTTTCGCCGAATACTGGCTCTACCTGGAATAGCCCTTAGAATTTTAGTTTTAATAGTCGTTTATTAAAGGTTATGTTTTAACTTATTGCATTTCACTATTTTTCTGTGGGTTGCTTCAGTACTTGGAAGGTTTAGGTTGATATATATAAAACTAGCTATCTTTGATCCTGCCTTTCTTTCCGCTCTTTTATATATTTCCACAAGGCGTTATCCCCAACACATAATCAGCAACCTGACACTCTCTCCCTACCTGTATCTATATTTTGTATCTGATCATATTTTATTTTTGTTTTTGTAGGCTGTAAAATTAAAGCCTTGAGAGCAAAGACGAATACTTATATCAAGACTCCAGTAAGAGGAGAAGAACCTGTCTTTATTGTGACTGGCCGGAAAGAGGACGTTGAGATGGCGAAGAGAGAAATCTTGGCAGCAGCTGACCACTTCTCTATCATCCGCGCAACTAGAAACAAAAATAGTGCGATGGCAGGAGGCTCCCAGGGACCACCAAATCTGCCAGGTCAAACCACCATCCAAGTCCGCGTTCCTTATCGTGTAGTAGGGTTGGTGGTTGGTCCGAAAGGGGCCACAATCAAAAGAATTCAACAGAGTACTCACACCTACATTGTAACTCCTAGCAGAGACAAGGAACCTGTCTTTGAAGTCACAGGAATGCCTGAAAATGTAGACCGAGCACGTGAAGAGATAGAGGCTCACATCACTATGAGGACAGGTTCCGTAATAGACATCCATCCAGATAATGACTTTCACTCCAATGGCACAGATGTCTGTATGGACCTATTTGGTAATAGCTCTGCTGCTCTTTGGGCAAAGGTTAATGCTCCTCGACGAGGATCTGCAGCATCACGCAATGAGACTCTGGGCAGTACTTCTTCAGAGAGTTCATGTTATGGAACAGGCAGAGAGCAGGGACCAGCAAGCCCATTTAGGCCAGTCCTGGGGGGAGGCTTCACACTAGGGGAACAGCACACTGTACCAGCTGCCATAAGCACAGAAGACTGTGAATTTGGCTTTGAGTTTCTGTCTTTGGATTTGAACACACCCACTGCTATTTGGTCTCCGTTTGAAACATCCAGTGGACAGGTGCAGAACTTCAGTGGTTGCTCAGCACAGAGGCGAAATAGTGGTTTGAGTGTCAATTCCACATCTCGAATTTCACCTACCCTCCCTGAACCAGCGGTTGGGCTAGAACATCCATTAGCACGCAGAATTCACAGCGATCCAATTAATGGTATCTCTTGGCTGGCCACACAGGGCTCACTGTCCTCTTTCTCCAGCAGCACTGGCTATTCCTCGTCTTCCTCTTTGCCAGGCAGCTCATCTGTGGCCTCTGGATCTCCCACAGACTCGAGCAGCTCTGATGGCCAGCGCAAAAGTGGTCGAGACTGCGTTGTATGCTATGAGAGTGAAGTCATCGCAGCGTTGGTGCCATGTGGGCACAATCTTTTTTGCATGGAATGTGCAATCAGGATTTGTGAGCGTGCCCTCCCAGAATGTCCAGCCTGTCATACCCCTGCTACACAAGCCATCCGCATTTTCTCCTAGCTGCATATAACTAGTAACACTAGCCCAATGAAAAGTCCAACCATATAACCCTTTCTTGGGCTCATATTTTACCCATTCATGACTGTTATATAAACTCTATTAAATAATACATTAAGCATTCGGGCTGCTGGAAGCAACCTGGGCAAGAATAACGTGGTGAGCTGGTTCTTGGTGCTGAGGGAGGGCAGATTATGTTTAACCTTACAAGAACTATAAGATTTACTTAAAATGTTTACAGAACAACCTTAACTTTTATCCCTCTCCTCAGGCAATGTCTTCAAAGTGGAGACACCTGTTGATCACAAGTAGCTCACACTACTTTTGGACCCCACCCCTCCTCCTTTTTACCCCAACCAGTATTCAGTTTTAAAAACATTAATAAACTGAAAGATATAGTAAGTTGCACTTTTTATCTTTTTTAATAAACTGAGAAATGGGGACAAGCAAATAATACATTATATAGTTAAGTATTTATAAATATATATATATATATATCTATTTCTCTTTAAAGTGCTAAGTCTATGATTTATTTTAGATGTTCATTCTACAAACTGTAGGCTATTTTAACCAATGCAGAACAGGAAATTGGCAAAGTTTCACCCTGCCTTTAATTCTGCATGACAATAGAAAAAAAGTTTAACCCCTTAATTATCAGAGGGTAACTGCATCATTTACTCCCTTGTTATTGAAATATTTTAGACTGTATTTTCATATTTTTCTGTTCTGTACCAGAATTAAACATATTTCATGTATGAATTTTTCAACACTACCTGCCCATAGGACTAGATCACAAGATGTGTTCAACTACAGGTCCCCCATTGTTATAAAAGAGAATAATGGATGTTTAAAACATTTGGGCAACCCCGAGCTTAGAGTATGTTTGCATTGGGAACACATTCTTGATACTGCTTGCTGCGTTCTCTTGTGGCTAAAGTCAAACAATAATTACTGTATAAGAAATGTGCTTTCTAATGTTGGACCTCACCTTTACGTAGAGCTTTTTGGAGGTCTAGAAGTTAGCATTGGTAATTGGCTCAGTCATTCTACTAATATGTTTGTTTGCTCAAGTGAGACTTAAAAAACATAATACCTCTACTCTTTAAAGCTAGAGTATCATATCTGTTTTTTAAAACATTAGGAGTATTGCAGACTTGCAATACATTTCAGCCTTTGCTCATGTCTTTGTTTCACGTGCGCAACAGAAATATTAAAGCAAAGAAGCCAGAGGAGTTTAATGCAAAAAAAAAAAAGTTGGGGTTCTTTAGACTGTCACCCCCCAAAACAAAGGTTTATTCATTTACATTTTTTGGTTATCATTCTAGTGGTCTTTGAGAAATGCAACGTTACTTGCCACATACTATAACATAGTCTGTTTCAGTTTTGAAAGCCTTTGGCTTATCAGAGGCCTGCTTAGTTAAAGGGGCTTGCTAACGACCGTAACCACTAGAACATATAGCAGTGGTTATAGTGCAAGGTGCACCTCCCAGTCTTGTTAAATTGTTTCCAATCAGTTTGACAAACACTTGTCACCTAAAGCCACAGCCCCCTTGCTATTAAGGTAACGAGGAGTTTTACTTCCACACTATCATTAATGTTTTGGCAGTCGTAATGGGTTGTGAAAGCCAGGAGTGGCATGGCACATAATTTCCATTTTGTTTCCTTAACGTTTCCTTGCTTATTTTTAACACACATTTTGTGTAGGTTAATATAACGGTTGTCTAACTTATTACTTTCTGATATCTATAGCATTGTTGAGCTCAGGCAGATTTTGCTCTGCCACATTAAGTGCACAACACTTTTTTTTTTTTTCCATAGCTTAGTAAGTTTTGATAGCTCTTGTAAAATACATTTCAAATAACCTGTTATTGGAATAGTTATTGTGCTATCTACAGCTGTACCTACATACCCACATGTCATTTTTTTAACCTCCTTTTTCTCCTGATTTTTATGGAAATCAATAAGCCACAGGACAAATTAAAAAAAAAAAAATGCACAAAATAATTAGCCAATTAGAACGAGTTCATCTGTGTACGATAGTTTAAAACGGTTATTTTTGTTTCAGATTTTTTGTTGACCTTATCAAGTCTTATCTGAAATATCATGCTACTCTACCAGTTACCAGTATTTTAAATAAAAATATAAATTCTATCGATAATCTAAAGGTTTTTGTTACTTTTTGCCCACTTATTGGTTGTTTTTATAACATGCTATTTTTGAACACTCATTCTCAAAGTCCATTTATATGTACACTTGGTAGACTGTCTGTGAATTGTTTTGTTAAAGGAACACTCCTGACAAATATAAAATGCACTTTGATTAATCATGGGAAAAGTTTTTATTTTATTTTTATTTTTTGTCCGCCCCCCCACCTTTTTATGTAGTCTCCTGTTGTGCATGAGATTTCAAATTTTTCATTTAATGATTCATCCACACAGTAGAGCAATTCTAGCATGAGCCTATCCGTGAAAAAATAGTTTAATTGCCTAAGTTAAAACTTGCTTCGTCACAACACGACGTGGTAGGATTTCATAAAAATAGAATCTTTATGGAAAATCTAAGTCCAATTAGATTTGTTTTGTCAATATTCGCAGTTGTCGCTAGTGACAAGTGTGGGAATGAGGCTTAATCTGCACTGTGTGAGTTGGTTTATAGAGGATCCTTCATAGACCTCTGGGATGGATGAACTCTCATGCATACAGGGAAAGTTCTACTTTAAAGGTGGCTTCTGGCAGAATAACTAGGATGGTGTCACTGCAAGGGAGAGCTTCAGTTAAATCTATTTTTAGGTTCTCCCCTGGCCTCCGTAGGGATGTTGGCTTCGTGCAAAGACCCTCGAAATTGGAAGCAGCTTTGGGAACATCTTCTCTTTGCCTTGTAACCATTTTCATACATCTGACAATATGAGTTTATAACTTTGCTGGGAACATTTGTATTTTGTTGCAATTTCTTTTGGCCATCAATTGTCTTGCATTACTGGAACCACAGGTCTGGTTAAAGGGACACAGTAGGTACACAGTGCTTAAAATCATTTAAGTGGTTATAGTGTTTGGAGTCACCGGACACCATCTTTTCATTCAATACTGTAATCCAGGGGTGCCAAAAAGGTAGATCCCAAGATGTTGAACTACAACTCTCATGATGCTTTGCATGCCTTTTTAGAATGACAAAGCACCATGGGAGCTGTAGTCTGAAAAAAACATTGGGGGATCTAACTTTTGGACACCTCTGCTCTATTCGGTGTTAAACTATTTTCAAGCAGTTTAACAGTGAATGCAGGGTCAATGCCCGGTGACTCCAGGCACTTTAACCAATCTAATGAAATTAAATTATGGTGCATACAGTGTCATTTTTAATATCTATTTTACAGCCTCGAAATTGATGAAAACCATGCAGTGATTATTGGTCCTGCATCTGTTTACCTGTTGACATTGTTATAGTTCGTATTTTTTTTTTTTTTAGCCAAAAATGGGCAGGTTCCTGTAATTGGCATCTATGTCTGTTTTTTTTTAGTTTTTTTTAATTGTTAAATTGCTAACACGTCAGCTGACACAGACTATATTTTGACACATTCTAAAATTCAAATATAGATATAATGTATTGAAGCAGACGACACTGTCCTCTCTCGTGGTATCTAGTTTAAAGTGATTTTTGTTTTTATTATGTTAACACAGCTGGCATAACTAGCATATATTTTTCATTTATGATTTTCTATGAACTGTTTAATGCGTTCACATGGAAGCACAGATTTAAGTGAGAATTTGGCTGTAAAAGGGATACATACTTGCTTTGTATTTTCCCGTGTTATATGGGCCATCTATTTCTGTTTAACAGTGTTAGTCTGAAAATTGAGAAAGGAGTGTGAATTACATAGTTATAGAATTACCCAGTATAGGATGATTTGTATAGCTTTAAGAACTTTATATGTAAGGTACCAGTGGGTAGTTATGTTTAGTTTAACTCACTGTGAAACTCCTTTATGTATTGAGTAAACTGAATCAAAGTAACTGCCATATGTCTATCAAACATGCCATATTTTTCCATTGATTTTAAGAATTCTGTCTCATGTTTATGTTCATAATTATCAACTTTACGATTCTGTAGTAATCTGAAAGAAGATATATACTCTGTAAACGTACTATTTTGTTTTGCCAGCAATAGTGGCATAACCAAAAAACAAACAAAAACCAAAAGGTCTTTTATGCATTACTAAGCAGGCGGTTTTCAAAACAGAATCCTACATGTGAATCTCCGTTTGTGAAGTGTGAAGTTTGTTTCCTTTTTAGTTTTGTATTTAGATATATTTTTTTATTTCTGCTCCTTTTTGTAGAATATATATATATTTTTCCTTTGATGGGGAGGGGCAAAATTTAAGTCGAAAACATATTATATGTTATTTTAAAGAGATGATGAGCAATGTTTTAACCTTCAACCTGAATTTATTTACATTGACAGAACCCAGCCTTGGGGTACACTGTAAAGAGTTTTATTTTTTTTGTAATGTAAAGCTTTCTTTAATAAAAAAAAAGTATTGCTAAAACATCTGCTTTTTGTGATTTAAAAAAAAATAAAAAAAATTGTGAATTACATGTTTTGATTTTAGTCAACTGCAATTTGAGGCTAAATGGAATGATTTACACTAGTTCAGAACCTGTTTCAAAAATACATTTGCTGTGGCTATTTATGTGAATATTGCAAACCTTGTATATAGAATAGCACAGATTAAACCTTCATTATTGCAAAACCAAAGAAAACACTCTAAGCACTCCTGTATGCTGTAATGATTGTGGTGGCAGGTGTTCCCTTGCATTGTCTGACACTAAGATATCAAATTGAATACAATGTGTTTTGACACGCATCATGCGGTGTTGGGTGTCCATAGTTCTTCTGGTCTAATCTTATCTAATGCAGTGGAGTTTACCAGTATTTATGGACTTAGAGCTATAATGGTGCTCCGAGCATCCCTTTTTAGTGTTAATACATTTGATGGGTTTGCACAAACAGGTTATACTGGTAGGTATTGAGGCTGTCTTCTATTGTCCTTTGAATGCAGAACTAAGAGAAAACGGCACATATTTATTATGTTGCTAAACTAAATAGAAGGCTCTGGCATCAAACCACATAACGGTTTTCTATGTATGTCTGCTCATGGAAGCTTCAGAACATTTTATTTATCATTGTAAATAAGAGGCTTAGGCAGCAGAAAAGTGAAGTTATCACTATAGAATGAGCACTTTGATGATAAATACCAAATAAGATAAACAAATACTGAACAGTGTGTGTAAAAAGAATAGGGTTACAAGCATGAGAAATCCTAAATATACCTGTTGTATAAACCTCCATGCAGTAAAGATAGAACCTTGACAAACTTCTCAGAAAAAATGTTTCTAAAAGACTAATAAGAGTGTTCATACATATAAACTCTGGGCTGAAAACAAACACCGGGTCTTTTACTAAAGTGTAACTTTCACATTTAAGGCCAGAGTAGCTGATTGGAGAGAATTTTTCCAGTTTGGCTGTTTTTGATCTTAAATATGAATTCACTTTGAATTCTCACTTTATCACAAGTCAAATATATGCCATATCAGATGAGGAAAACCATAAAAAACACAGTAGGTGTTAGGAATCAGCCTGAACTGGGATCCTCAGATGATGTAGAACTACAACTCCCATGTTGTTTTGCAATGTCTTTACAATGGCAAAGCATCATGGAAGCTGCAGTTTTAAAACCTCTGGGGATCTATGTTTTAGGCACCCTTGATATACAAGATTTTTTTTTTTTTTTCAAACTTTTGCCCTCCTGATGTTGCTGAACTACGACTGCCCTGATTATCTAGCTATCTAGTAAATTCAAAAAATCATGGGAGTTTTAGTTCAGCAACATCTAAAAGGGCTAGCGTTTGTAGAACCCTGCTAAAAAGTAATGCAGGAGCAATAGGTCTCATCACTGAGCAGTAGCTGATACCCCTCTAGACACAGTGAGCACGGAATCCATGTCTGGATTACCCTTTTTAGTTAGGGAGACCCATAGCAAATGCATTAAAGAAACCATATTAAAAAATGGGTAAAAGCTCAGATGAATGCTATAACTTGCTCTTTGGTTAAAGTGGCTCTGTCATCTCAAACTTGTCTTTCTCCTATTGTTTCCTCTTCTCTTCCAGAATCTGTTCTTTTCTTCATTTCTGATCTACCGTGTATATACTCGAGTATAAGTCGACCTGAATATAAGTAGAGACCCCCTAATTTTACCCCAAAAAACTGGGAAAACCTATTGACTCAAGTATAAGACTAGGGTGGGAAATGCAGCAGCTACTGGTAAATTTCTAAATAAAATTATATCCCCCAAAAATTATATTGAATATTTATTTACTGTGTGTGTGTGTGTGTATGTATGTATGTATGTATGTATGTATATATATATATATATATATATATATATATATATATATAATATAACGAATGCAATGTGTGATGCAGAGCTTTGGTGGGCATTTTTATTTATTTTTTTTAAAATTATTTTATTTAAATCTTTATTTACATTTATGTTTATCTGTCCTCCCTGCTTGTTAGCTGGCCAGGGAGGGGGGGCTCTCATTCCCTGGTGGTCCCGTGGCATTGGCTGTGTAGGAGGGGGCTGGCAGCGAGCTGTAACTTACCTTCTGTCAGCTCCCTTCTCTCTCGTCCGGTCAGCTCCACTGTAAGTCTCGCGGTCTGAGTGCCGCGAGACTTGCAGTGGAGCTGACCGGACCGGAGGAGAGA